CCGTTGCCATCTAAGATCCACCCAAACTTGATTTTGTCACCCTCTGGATTAGAATCCTTCTATGACTCCACTGCCCACGAAGTCCAAATGACTTCCTATGGGGTGAAAGGTCCAGTGGGGACTGTTCGAGGGTTCCCTCTAGGAGTATTTCCTGTCACGATGAACTGTGTGCAGCTCTGCAGACACTCCCAGCACCTCTTCGACTTTGCTCCTGCTTCACCAGTGGTGTCCTCCCTGGGGTCAGTTTACCCTGTGTGGGAGGTGAATTCCCTGGGGGAAATTTGGGCTCCCTTCTGCTGCTCTTGTGCAGTGCACATGGCTGTCCTCATTTTCTCCGTTCCCCATTGCTTCTTTAGCATCTCAGTGCACTTCCTTCATTTCATTGCCAAAATGCAAGCCCCTTGAGGGCAGGGACCATGCTTGACTCGTTTTGATATGCCCAATGCCTAGCACAGAGTTGAACACACTGCTGCCAATTCTTTTTTTCAATGACAATTCCATAAACTCATTAGGCATTAGGTGTTCAGCTCTGCATATAAGGCCTTCATCAGCAAAATGGTTACAAGTATAAACCATTTCCTACTTCAGAATATTTTAATGTTCAACTTATCTGTATACCCACATTCTCTTGTTACGATTATTGCCAGAAAGCCAATTGATAAGCTTTCCATGGCTTATCATGAATGGTTTTTGTTTTTTCTATAAACGGAAATTTCAGACATGAGATTTGAGAGATTTGACTGAGAAGACCCCACAGTAAAATGTGACATGACTTACCTTATGCTGTAATTTGTATTTCCTCAGGATTTAAGAGCTTCCTAGCATAAAGTCTTTGCTAAACGTCTGTATACATGTTATTGGTGCTCCGAAAAATAGTCAATGGAATGGTGTACTACAATTGGGCTTTATCATCTTATTCTGAACCTCGTGTAGATTATAGTAAAGCAAACCATTCAGTGTGTTCCAGGAAATTATATTAGATCTGTGTTTCTATCAGTTCACTGGAATAATCTGATAATTGTTACTTTTACTTGGTATGGCTGCAAGAATAGTGGAAGGAGGAGGACTTGAGAGTTGGTCGAACCCGGGTTTGAAATCTGGCTTAGTCATTTTTCAGCTGTTATCCTGGGTGAGTTTTGCCAACTTTCTTAGCTTCATTTCCCTCATTAATGTTAACAGCTACTCTTGCATTGAAAATGAAGTTAGATTACCTGTCTAGCATACCCATCATCATACACTCAATGATGGTCACATTTTGTATTCAAAATAAACTAATATGAAAAATATTTCTTGTTTTTATTTTACACAGAATTATGATTCTCACAGGGTATATAAATTACTGATTAGATTTATATGTGGCCAATTCTTAATGTCATTGGGAATGCTGTTTCATTTCAATCCTCAAAGTTACTGTAGCACAGAAAATATCACAATTTCCTGCAGGGATATTATCAGTAAGTCCTGCAGGGAACAAACAATTGACATTAAAAATCAGTACTCTGCAATTGTCACTGTTATTATCTGCTAGAAACTCTGCATAATGCATTTTAAACCACCAAGGCTGGCTGCCACATCCATGTGAAATGCTTGAATTTTATGGTGCTTAAATATTTAATGATTCATGGGAAAAATGTGAAATGTGTCTAATAAATTGCATCCCTTTCTCTAACCTCTGGTTGTAAAGTTAAAGACTTTTAGCATGTAACTTTTGCAAGATGCCTGGTCTACCACTGGCACTTAAATCTTTGTTGTATTACGATTTATAACATGGTTCATTATATATAAAATTCTGTGATGACTTCCAAAAACAACTGTGTTTTATCTGGTGCATTTATTTTCTTTCAAGCCAATGTGGGTTTACTTTTTTTTGTTTTTGTTTTCTAGCTTACATTGTAATGTGGCTTACACTTGTGGAAGTGTGAACTGCAGAAGGGAAGAGTGTAGGCTGGAAAGGATGGGATTCGGAGGCTCTTGGAAACACTGTTCTATGCACAGTGATGGGGTGCAGAAGAGGAATGAAAGCAGGTCTCATGGGGAAGGTCTGTATCAACCCCAGGGGAGTTGCTTGGGCAGTGGCCAGTGGGCATGGGGCTTACACCCTCTTGGCCTCAGCTGTCTCATTAGCTGAGTGAGAATAAGACCACCTGCTTCACAGCACTGTTCGGGGGATTCAAGGTGTGAAAGTCAACTACAAAGAGATTTATGAAACCAAAGACATTGTTAGTTTTAACCACAGTGACTTGAAGTCAGGAGTTAGGTATTGATTACATTTCTCTTTACAGCCAGACATGGGGATAGGTGGAGTGCAGATATTCAATAACTGTTTTGTGGACTTTTTTTTTAAGAGACATGATCTTGCTCTATTGCCCAGGCTGAGTGCAGTGGTACAATCATGGCTCACTGGAGCCTTGACCTCACAGGCTCGAGTGATCCTCCTGCCTCAGCCTCCCCAGTAGCTGGGCTACAAGCATGTGCTACTGTGGCTAATTTTTAATTTTTGTAGAAGCGGGGTCCTGCTCTGTTGCCCAGGCTAGTCTTAAACTCTTGGCTTCAAATCATCCTCCTGCCTCAGCCTGCCAAAGCATTGGGATTACAGGCATGAGCCGCTGCACCCAGCCTTGGACTTACTTTTAAGTAGGAAGGAACTTCATTGGTATTTGGGTCAACCTTTTACCTGATAAGAGAAATAAGGATACTCAACTAACATTTCCTGACCATCTACTATGTGACAGATGCAGTACTGGCTCTGCTATATATGCTTCCTGTCAACCCTACAGCTGTCCTATTTTGCAGACAAGGAAACTGAGCTTTAGAGAGAATAAGTAACTTCTTTAAGGTCATACAGTCACCATCCAGTAGAATCCAAACCCTTGTCTATCTGTTCTTAAAGATAATGCTTTTATCCTTTCCTCCATTACCTCCCAGGGGCTTTCCCCATTTGTGAATTGGTTAGAAAATAGAGGGTCTCACATAGAGGTGTCCTGGATTAGCTCCTGTCACTGCAAAGCCCCTTGTTTTACGGGTTCTAAGGTAGCCCATCCAGCTCAGCTTGGAGATTCTCTCAAGCTGTTCTAGAGGGAAGGGGTGAGGAACCCATGAGGACAGAGCTCTTTTGGGGGATCCCAGAGGCCTATATCTCAGGGTCAACTGAAAACCAGCCATGTCTCCTGTATTAGTCCATTTTCATGCTGCTGATAAAGACATACCCGAGACTGGGCAATTTACAAAAGAAAGAGGTTTACTGGACTTACAGTTCCACGGGCCTAGGGAGGCCTCACAATCATGGCAGAAGGTGAAAGGCACGTCTCACATGGCGGCTGACAAGAGGAGAGAGCTTGTGCAGGGAAACTCCCCTTTTCAAAACCATCAGATCTCGTGAGACATATTCACTATCAATCACCAGAACAGCACGGGAAAGACCTGCCCCCATGATTCCGTGACCTCCCACCGAGTCCCTCCCATGACATGTGGGAATTCAAGATGAGATTTGGGTGGGGACACAGCCAAACCATGTCACCTCTGGAGCCCCTAGAAACCCAAGGTCAGTCATTTAGGGCAACTGCTCTGAGCTGGAGAAAGGAGGATCTGAAGGCCCTTACTTGATGCTCAGTCTCTGCAGCACCAGCCAGCTTAGTCATTTTTGTTCTCCCATTTGCCAGCAAGGCAATTCCTTCATACATTATTTCTAGGGGGTAGGTTGCATCCTCAGTGATTACATATTTAGTGGTTATAATTTTATCAGCCAAAGATGAAATTCTCAACCTGTAATCATTATTATGTTTGATAAAAGTAGGGAAAATTGTATAATGAGGAGTAAAATGTTCTTCTGGTCCCCAAGCAGTCAGTCCGCTTTACATGCAACAAATGGTGTTAAATGCACTTGTGTGCACTGAAATTTGAGAAGTACTTTGGTGCCTATAAACCACAGGGGACTTGTTAAAATGTAGATTCTGATCCTTTGGTCTGTGGAGCAGCAGTCTGAATTTGTGGAAGCTCCCAGGTGCTGTGGGCCCTGGCTGCACACCCTGAAGAGCAGAGAGGTTGGCCTCGTGCTCCTCTATAGTGAGAGTCTGAAGACCTTGTTCAATTGTGTTAATAATTATCTGATACTAAGGATATGCAAGATAGATTTAAATTGTTGAGGGAGAGGAGCTTGTAAAGAGACAGTATCTCAAGGTCAGAGGCAGGCAATAACTTGCAAGAATCTCAAGTAAATATCATGACTCTCTTAAGTTACAAACTTTCGTTTGATTTTCGTTTTAGAATTTCCATCCAGGCACTAAACAAGTTACCTAAGGGGGAAACAGAGTGAGAGAAAGAAACAGTAATTTCACAACTTCCTGGCAGAAACCCTCACTGGAGGTGGCTGAGCAGTGTTTTTCAAAACACTTAGAGAAGGGATCCAGTTTCGCACCCAGAGAGCCACATAGCAGAAGTGTTTTTTCTAGGGTTTTGCTTGTGTATGTCTCTTTAAGCCACAAGATACCATTGATTTTATGACACTACTCTCTTCCTAAGCAGCAATATGTATTATGACCAAATTTAATTATTTCTATATTAGCAACATTTTAGTTTTTCTAAGTATAAATCATATATCTAAATCTGCCAATTCATCTGTCATCTGATCAAGATGTCAAGATCATTCTCTCTCTGCCCCTAAATACCACAGAAGAAAAAAATGTTAGCACAGACACATCCCACGCAGACCTATAAAAAGCACATGGCCAGATTTGGTACTATTCACAGGGACTCCTTGGTGACACTTCTTTGTTGTGTGGGAATCTTGGGCTTTGTGTACCAGGTCACAGCATTCGATGCAGTGGGACATGTCTTCAGACTGACAAAGGCCCCGAAGTCTCTATCTCTACCAGCAAATGCTTTCCATCATTCTTTCCTTGATGTGATTCAAGGGAAAAAAAAGACCTACAATAGTATCAATAAGCAGCAGGCACTAGTGTCTATGTGCACCACCGGTGACAGTATAAACGAGCTTCTCTTTCTGTTTCAATCCGCAAGTATTTATTGGTTCTGATATTCCAGACAAAGCACTTCTCAAGGCACTGTGAGGAGAGAGAGAAACAGATGGTTTCTGTCCTCATGAAGCTTACAATCTAAAGACAAAAGACATTCTCTCATTGCAGCATAACCAGCAATTCCAAGTGGTATGTGGAAACTGTGTTGATGTGGTTGTGTCTGTTACAGGATTCAGATGGGGGCTGGATGAGGAGGATCTGGATGGACCAAGAGAAAGGAAAGAGCTGTTCCATGTAAAAGTACAGCACAGAGTGTCACAAGATCAGGAACACTCACAGCCTGAGTGTTACCAGCCTCTGTGATGAGACTAGTTACCAGCCTCTGTGATGGATAAATGGGGCTGAGGTCCAAAGGTTGGCTGGAGCCCACTGTTGAGGCTAATGACTTTGACCTTTATCCTTTGGCAGCAGAGAGCCAATGAAAGGTATTTGAGATACTGAGTGGCATCATGAAAGTGAATTTTAGAAGACTAAGCTGGAGTTACGCAGAATTGAGCGAGGAAGTATTATAAGTATTGAACAGAGCAAATAATTGAGATATTAAGACTCTCTAAGCTGAGCGTCTGTGATTCTAAAATACAATACTAGCATCCATAAAAAAAAAAAAAGGAGAAGAAACTTAGGGAATGACTGCAATGATTCATGGGAAGGGAAAAGAAGTTGTTTTTATATATATATATATATATATATATAAAATTTTATTTTTTTTTTGACTAATTGACTACTATTCTTTACTGAATACTGAATCTCTCAAGAAAAACTAAGACTGGGAACAAGGAGGCCAGGTCTGCCAGCTTCCCCATTCTTGCTCTGCCTTGCAGTGCAATTTGCAGGGTAGGGGGAGGTGGTCTTTCTCATCCCTTTAGCTTGCTTACTCCCCAGGCAGCAGGACAAGTGTCAAATAGGTAGACAGGCTCTAGTTCTACTCAAACTAGTTATTTACTGCAGCAGGCAATTTAAAAGGATGGAGGAGGTCTGAACAATTATGTACAACTTTGGAATCACAGGCAATACATTCAGAGTCATTAAAAGGAAGCAATTTTAACTACTCCCTCCTCTTCAGAACCAAGTACAGATTCTGCATTAAGAGGTCTCTTAAGTTGTTGACTGACCACACCAAACTGTGGGAACCAGGGGCTTAACAATCAGGGAGCTACTATTAAATAAACCAAATTAAAAAATTAGCTCCAAGTGCTTATTCCCTACTAGAGATAATTAGTCTAATACACTTGCTCACTTGCTTTTGTCTTTCTCAATCCAATTCCAGTTTGTTGGCATAACTTTAGGGATTCCTTATTGTAGAGGAAAATAAAATAAACTGGACATTCCAAACAATAAGCACTTGTTACAGGCAAGTCTATTAGTTAAAATAATTATAACAATTTCCAGAACATCTTTATTGTTGTGCTAAAATAACTGGTTTACATTTATAACTAAAATGACCTTTCTCACATCACGAAGATGTTCCACTCCACAAACAGCCATGCGTATCACAATTTTACCACCCAAAATCTAATCCTATGTCTTTGTATCTGACAAGTCAAACAGAGCAAGGAAGTACTACTAGTGGACTCAAGTGATATAAAAAAATAAAAAATAAAATACTTCCATGTACAGTGATTGGACTCTTAATACAACTGAAAAAATACTTTGGTGAAACACTGACATTTAATGAGCCTTTGGGGTTGGAAAGGGGAGATAGGGAGTGAGTGGCAAGATAACTAAGACTCAGGCCTCATTACAGAGTCATTCACAATCCATGTTCCCAGCTAGAAGGCACATCTTTCTTTGTGTAGCTGTGCACAGATAATAATAGGGACAAGATATAAGTGTTATAGCAGGATTACCAAATGCTATAAAAGTGGCACACAAGAAAGAAGTTACTTCTACTTGGGGCAACAGGAGTCAAACTTATAGAATTTGGGAGAGAGAAGTAACATTCAGCTTGAATATTTTAATTTTAACACATTTAAAGCTTCTAGACTTACAGGTACAATTTATATTAACACACACATGTAAACACATCTTCCAAGACAGTAATATAAAATTATAAAAATGAAGAAAGCAAAATCCCATGGACTCCACTCCCAAAGATGACCCCTGCTAACATCTGGGTATATTTCTTTCCACATGTTTGCTTTATGCATATGGAAGGCATATCTTTTATGTGCATAATCAGAAAACTATATAAATTGTAGATCAAAAAAGGAAGATCTTTTCCTACTTCTCTATTTTAAAATATCTTTGTGACAGTAAGACATCAGTGATCTTCTGACTTTCGTCCTTTTATTCATGGAACACAAGCACCAGGAAATGCCTTAAATGACTCAGACAGACAATCTGTGGATTGTAACGTTGCGGGGCCCAAGGGCATGTTTTGGACATTTGACTAGGACAAGTGGCTGGTACAATGGTCAATTAAGAGGCACTTTTATGAGGAAAAACATACTTTCTGCAAGATAGATCTCTAGTGACCAATCCACCAAATGCCTTTGCTCTACTCTGTATGTTGCATCTGCTGTTACTTTGCTGGTTTGTTAAATGATGTCCTATCTCCTGGGCACACAAGCTGCCACTGGGAAGTGGCTGGGAACCTACACTGCTGGTGTCACTGATACTAACGGTGTGTGTAGGAGTCTTCCCCACCTTAGGTCTTTCTTACACTTCTTCAATGAGACTTTCTATAAAGGCAGAGCAATACCAGAGCAAAGCAAAAGCCCTGCAAACACCAGCCAGATGCAGGGGCCCGAGGTGCCGAGGCGCCGGGGTTGGGGAGAGTAGGACAACATTCGGCCGAGGCAGCCACATCCTGTTCCTGGACAGCCGCAGTGGCAATGCGCCAGGAGGACGCGGGGATGGCTCCACACCCGCTGCCAAGTCAAACACGGGGCTCTCCAGGCAGGATGAGGGACTAATCTTCCTGACTGGTGAAAGTAAAACCTCCTGGTGAAGGTCACAGTCTTCAAAAGCAGACCAAAGCAGAGGCATCGCTGAGTTAGCAGTGAGAGGAGGGAGTGTGGAAACTGGTCCCTTCATGGAGGAAGTGACCTGTTTATGAGCAAGAACAAGGCCAGGAGAAGGCCCACTCCCAGCAAGCTGTGAGTTGACTCACAGGGGCCATGGGAGGACTGTCCCAGGCGATGTGAGCGGTCTGGAGCAATACCGGTGTACTCTGCTTTTGTTTAAAATGAATTAGAATGAATTAGGGGCTTCGGGAATGAGCCAAATGGGCAATAATTACACGCATAGACCATGTCTTCCCAAGACGCCACCTCACTGGTTATCGAATCTGTGAAGCCGCTGTCTCCTCATTTCTTCTTCTGGTGAGAGACGAAACCCGTAGGGTGGTGGGCTATTTCTGGTATTTCCTGTAGCGAGAAAGCCAAAGGAAAAATCAATCGTTCTGACATTACAAGGCGTGTGTACCCTAGGATTCCAAGGGAACAAAATGATAGCTTGGGTGTCATCTTTATTTTAACACAAAACAGAAATATAACAAAGATTTTTCAGCTTCAGCTGTCAGTACTAAATTTCAACATCAAGTAAATATTTTTAGAGTGGTTCAGCCACGAACCTGATTTGACTCATTTTGAGGCTTCTTGATAATCTTCCCACTTGTATTTTTCCTTCCACCGTGCTCCATAATTTGCATCATTCAGGCTTACAGAGTGTCTCAAGGGCTTATTGTCTTTTTTTTATATACCCATATATAATTTGTTGCCACCTTTACTAACTTCTCCCACCAACTAGGCAGGTTTGGCTTCTTCTGATCAGCCTTTGGGTGCTCCTTTTCTTCCTTCTAACGTGCTGCCTCCTGCACCAATGTGGCTAATCAGAATCATGCGTGATTGAAACACACAACCACTGGAGCAGAGTTACCATACTGATCAATATCTGGGCATGCAAACAAAAATGCAGGCATATTTCAAGATCATATGAAGGACTGTGGAAATCATTACTGAAAAGAGTTTCTCAGGGATGCAAACTTACCAAAAACACAGTTTGTAATGATACAAGAATTTCAATCACTACATAAGAAAACATTCTCCCAGGCGTCATGAGTAGTAATAAGGGGAGAAAAATACACAGTCCTTGATCTCAAGGAACCAGCAACCTAAAGCTAATGAAAGAGCTTCAATATTCCCCATGAGGCAATCGGGAAGACGCATCACTGATAGATACGGGTAAGCAGAGGTTTACTTCTAAGCATGGGGACCGAAAAGGCTGTACTTTTCACTACTGTAGCTCTGCTAACCCTGGTAATTTGCCCTGAAAGGCTCTCTCCCATCACCTACATCAACCAGAAGTCTTACTCACTCTTGTAATGCTAGGCCACCCCCGATGGAACCAACGGAAGAACTCTCCCAATTCAAACTCTTCAGCTTTCAGCACCTTCCATTTGGTTGTCTTCTTTCAATCATCACCACATCCTGCCAGATGTGTAGGCTTTTCTGGACCACTTTTCTCTCTCCTACCAGGATCATAAGCTCTAAAATGGTGGGGGATCCCTCTGACACGTCTCCTTCTCCCCAGCGTCTGGGACAGTTCTGAACACACAGTAGCTGTTCAATAAGTATATGGACTTGACTCAACAGCACCTGCTTACGACTTCCAACGCTGCCCAGTGAGGTTCTGAAACAACTCATTCGGGACCAAATGTTCTGGCAGCACTGGCCTGGCTGGGAAGGGAGGGTGGGCAAAGCACAGTTAAGTCAGGAGGGAAAGCAAGTGAACAAACAGTCGATCCCTCTTGCTTATTGCCCAAGAGTGGCACCTTTTCAAAGATGTGTCCATTTATGTATAAGCTGACATGGCAACTGTTAAAACCATAGTGAAAAGATGTTAGAGAAAGAAGTGGGAAACGGAGTCCATCTTTTCAATCCACAGCTGAAGTTTCCGTTGTCAAAGAGAAATTCAAAAAAGTAGTCAAAGCCAACCCCTTTTTTATATTTTTACTTCTCTACTGATGAAGATCCCAATGCTTCCCCAGAACTGACTCTCCTTTCCTGTTGAGAGCATGGGAGAATTATACCTCCTCAACCCCTTGTACCCTTCCTGACTAGAACACCCCAAAATAAACAGGGCAGGCCTAATCCCCCCGCTCACTTCTGCTGGATAAATCCCTACTTCAAGGCATTTTGATACAGTGAAAAATAGACCAATTTGTTAACTTTCATTAAAGATGATACTTAAACATATTATAGGCTTATAACACTTTTACCGTAAAGATTTTATGAATACTGTAAGATTAAAAGTTAAAAACCTGGATACCGTTTTTGCCATATGTATTTGTAAAGGAATCTCTCTTTGTTCAAAATGGTAAATGCTCTGAAATTACAAATTCATGAATCAAATCACCATTAGTTGATTGCTTAAAACTATTTTATATGATCAAGCTCCAAATTCTCCTTTTCCTTTAACAGTTGTTTTTAAAAAGACTGGTCTTAATTGCACTTGTGAGTGCAGGCCAGGACTTGACACCTCATTCCAGATGGACTGGGAACTCTTACAACTAGCTGCGAGCAGAGTCAAAAGCAAGCTCGACGTGGCACCCTGACTCTGGGCCACAGGGCAGAAACCCATGGAGGCTGAAAGACTGCTCAGACTCCCAGAGGGAAACACAGAGTCCTCTGGTGTTTTCTTTAGCGTTTCTTCAAAAGAAAAAGCCTGCGGATTAATAATTTCCATGAAGGGAACTGCATGGAGGAATTAGAAGAGGCAGACTGGGAAGGTGCCCGAGGTCCAGCTCTCAAAAGGAGCAGCCAGCACACACAGCCTTGGACCCATTTGCAGGGCATTCGAGGAGAACCAGGGCTGAGCCAACCAAAGAAATGCCACATGCTGAAGTAGAAAACTCATGTCAGGAGAAGAACAATCATCACACTCTTCTTTATAAAGCCCCTTCAAGGTGCCCTTTTCCACTTAGCTTTTACTCCCAATAGAATCATCTCAGTTTTGCAGATGAGGAAACAGAGGCTCAGGAGGTGTTAGGGACACATCTGAGGTCACTAAGCTAGCATGAAGATCAGCAAACCTTCTGAGTCTCTTCCCACTTTCCCACGTGGCCACCAGTTCTCACACCGAAAGTGTTCAGGGTTGCACCTCTCACCATCCCCGCCCTTCCTGCCCAAATCTAGTGTCCCTTTTCTTCACGGATATGGACATGTGGGAAGCTCACTGCTATTTGAAAACAGAAAAATAAGGTGGTCCAGTCTAAGTTCTCAATTCTGTGGGACTCTGCTGATATCAAAGACGTGAATCTAAAGTTCCCATGTGGGTCTCCTTAAATTCCACTGGCTGCTAGCACGGTTTGGCTTTCTAGGAGAACCAAGAAGGCGTTGGGTATAACAATACAACAACCCAAACCACAATAAAGCCCAATTTGTAATCATGCCAGCTCTTAAGGTATTTTAAATCCTTCCAACTCAGTGTTTTTGATATAAAAGCCATCTTACTCTCTGAAGAATGGCTGAATTGCTTTGTTTCCAGCTCTGAAAACTACACTGTTCTGAATATGAGTTGATCTGGGGGGAATGTTTTTAAGCATAAAAACTTATTTCGAAGACAATCACAAAGTTGATGTCAGCCACTAGTCTACACCGACTACTGTGGGTGTGCTTTGAGTTGGAGGCACACTCGGCACAAGACTACCTGGCTGTCCACTCAGTCTCAGGTATGCTCTGTCTTCTACTTCCCCACCATTGCATTTATGTGTCAAACTATTTCTATAGTTTCCACTTGTGTCATATGATCTATTACCTGTCTTCTTAACCTCCAGCATTCTCTGCAGGCTTTCTAGAAGGGTCTTACCTTTGTGTTTCTGATATGTACAAGCCTCCTTGGGGTGGTAGAAGGAGGCATCCCCATGAGTGTAAAGGAAAAAGTGTTAGTAGGGAATTAGGAGACAGTTTCCCAGCTCTGCCTGGGAATCGTGGAGACACCCTTCACAAGGTGCTGCATTTCAGCAGTCTCCAGGTGAATCCTATGCTTCATTTCAGCAGTCTCCAGGTGAATCCTATGCTTCATTTCAGCAGTCTCCAGTTGAATCCTATGCTTCATTTCAGTAGTCTCCAGTTCAATCCTATGCTTCATTTCAGCAGTCTCCAGGTGAATCCTATGCTTCTTTTCAGCAGTCTCCAGTTCAATCCTATGCTTCATTTCAGTAGTCTCCAGTTGAATCCTATGCTTCATTTCAGTAGTCTCCAGTTGAATCCTATGCTTCATTTCAGCAGTCTCCAGTTGAATCATATGTGAGAGGAGGCTACTGAAAAAGGGGACTTCCGGGGTCCTTTCCATGACTCTGAAGTTTGACAACCTGTGATTAAATCCCAGCTCCTCCACTTTTTAGCTACACATCCTTGAGCAAGTAGGTAACCCTCTTGCTCTTGGTCTTAGTTTCCTTGTCTAGAAAATGGGAATACTGAGTAGTTCCTTTGTTTGACTGTTGAAGGATTAGAAGAGATAATGCACATAAAATGATTAGCTGGGTGCCACATGACAGTAAATGCCGGCTGAACATTGGATGGTATGATTGTTCATCTCTAACATCATCAAGAATCATGTGCTAAATGTCTACTTGTTCCTATCATTAACTCTGTATAAGAGATATACAAAATGGGCTGGGTGTGGTGGCTCATGCTTCTAATCCCAGCACTTTGGGAGGCCGAGGTGGGTGGTTCACAAGGTCAGGAGATTGAGACCATCCTGGCCAACATGGTGAAACCCCGACTCTACTAAAAATACAAAAATTAGCTGGGTGTGGTGGCATGGGCCTGTAATCCCAGCTACTTGGGAGGCTGGGGCAGGTGAATGACTTGGGAGGCTGGGGCAGGTGAATGGCTTGAACCCGGGAGGCAGAGATTGCAGTGAGCCCAGATCTTGCCACTGCACTCCAGCCAGGCAGCAGAGAGAGACTCTGTCTTTAAAAAAAAAAAAAAAAAGATATACAAAATGACAAAACCTGTGACTTCTTAAAATACAGAGCTCAATTCTGTTTGCAAACCCTTTGGCAGTGCTTTGTACAGTGTTGAGTTGCTAGTTACTAAATATCTGTCTTCTAAGAAATAGATATAAAAAGGTAATTAATGACTTTCATTAAGTAGCACACTTTAGTCACATGAAAGAGCCTTTGGGTGACTGACAGAGCTGGAGTGTCCAGCCAAGATCTTCTTTTCTCTGCTTAGTTAAATCATACATTGGACATTTACAGGCCTGCGTGAAACGGCCCTGCTCTAAAGAACTTGGTATAGAATATGACTATTTATGAGCCTTGCCTCCGTGTTCTTGTCAATGGAGGTCAGCCCTCAATTTTACTCAAAGCAGCAGTGAACATGCTTCAAGGAACCTCAGGAACACTGCTCGTGTTAAG